TCTCATCACAAAGATAATGTGCTGTAGCCACATGGATCTATGCAGGTCTGAAACAAAGCAGAGTTGCTGCCATTATATCCAGTCTACATATGGAGATGCAGTGGGATGCTCTAAGAAACCTTACGTTAAGTCTTTTCTGTTGTCTCTTCACCAGGCGCTAACATCATCAACACTAACTGCTCAGCAGCTCACACCCGACAGGCTCTGTGCTGCAAGATGTCTGTAGAGTACGATAAATTCATCGAGTCTCAGAGGAAGTGAGTGAAGGATGGAGCGGTCAGCTCTGACTCTGAGAGCAGCTGCACGTCTGACTGTGTGTTTGCGTCGTAGGTGGTTCTGCCACGTGGACGATGACAACTACGTGATCCTGCCCAGCCTGCTGCGGCTGCTCTCGTCTTACCACCACAGCCAGGACGTCTACCTGGGCCGGCCCAGCCTGGATCACCCTATAGAGGCTGCAGAGAGGGTCAAGAGTGACGGTTCGGTGGGTCACCTTTCCGCTTAGTGAGAGATTTTGGCTCCACTCCACAGCTAGCTAATGTGCTCTTTCCTTTCTGGTTCAGGTGTCTGTCAAGTTCTGGTTCGCCACAGGTGGAGCAGGTTTCTGTATCAGTCGAGGTCTGGCCCTGAAAATGAGTCCGTGGGCCAGGTAGCTGCCTCTGCTTTGAAAGGATTTCTACGCTCTTATATTTTTACATTCTGGTGCAAAATACATACATTTATACACAAATACATGCTCGCATCAAGTCTCTGTGCCGCCCCTGTGGGGGTGACGCTTCCTCTTGATTTTGGAAACCACTTCATTATTTTCTGCATGGTTGATCCTGAGAAAGCTCAGCTTGGACACTGCTGTCTTGTGTTTTCAGTTTGGGGAATTTCATCAGCACAGCAGAGAAGATCCGACTTCCAGATGACTGCACCATCGGCTACATCATCGAGGCGCTGTTGGAGGTCGCTTTGACGCACACGCACCTTTTCCACTCTCACCTGGAGAACCTGCAGAAGCTGCCCATTGACTCTGTGCTGGAGCAGGTGAGCGAGAGGTGACCGGGGACGGCGTTTTACAGAAGCTCGGAAACCAAACCTGAAAAACGTCTAAATGTAGTTCAGTTAACAGATTTAAAAAATGACCCACAAAACCAGTGTGAACTAAAGGAGATGATACCAACCCACTCAGATTCATCCCAATATAGTTTAATATGTTGATGCATTTAGGA